ACTTTCTTGTTGTAACTCGCCACTCGTCGAATAATGCAAGTAATCGGTTAATCGATCGATGGACGCATGATACGCCATGAGAAGCGGAATTCGCGTCGGGCGAACGAGATCGTTACATTGTTTCTGCTATTTCGTGTGCGAGCGGGAGGGAGAGGGAAGGAGAGAGTTGAATGACGTGTTACAAAGGTAGTTAGCGGAAGAGGTCCTCAGGGCTACATACATACATTCAAGCCTATTGGTATTTCTTTCTCTTTCTCTCTCACGATGGGAAGAAAAAAAAGGACAGACGTCGGTGGTACAAACGCACCCGCGGTGATGATTAACAGCCGAGCCCGGCGCATATCTCCGGGGCCCGACCGGCGAGGGTAATCGATTAATACGCGATATCGAGCCCGCGCGTCTCTCTCTCTCGCGGCCATTGTTTGTTGTTAATTACGCTGATACATCTAATCGACTAGCGAGAATCGGGCACGGTTATGATTCGGCGATTTGACCGGTCGCGGGATGATGCGGACCCCGCTGTCGAGATGTAAATGTTTCTTTAATGCAGATATCTGCAGCGCTGTACCGGCCGACGTCTAGAGAGATACGGCGGCATTGTTTGGTAACATTATAACGTTGCACCGCTCTGTTTATCTGCGGCGGGCATCTCTCGGGGATCCGGGGATTCTAATTAATACAAGTCGACGCGTCACGGCGACCGGTTTCATTACGGACGTGGTATGAAGCGAGAATCGACATTATGACATTTATACACGAGAGCGTATACTTTGCGTCGATATAACGCGCGCGAATTTAATCAGACAGTCTGTCAAATCTCTTTCAAATTAATTTGCAAGATTGTAATTACCTTTGAAATTTTCGATTGAATTGTATTTGCGCGAGTGTGAATGTTCTACAGATTACATTAAATGACACGACAAATACACATACTCATTCTTAACAAAAATCTCACCGATGATATATAATAATACAACAAAAATTTTAATTGGCATATTTTTTAACAAGAAAACAAATTTTCGGACTGTGTTTTTACGAATTTAATCAGACAGTCTGTCAAATCTCTCTCAAATTAATTTGCAAGATTGTAATTACCTTTCAAATTTTCGATTGAATTGTATTTGCGCGAATGTGAATGTTCTACAGATTACATTAAATGACACAACAAATACACAAGCACATTCCTAATAAAAATCTCACCGATGATATATATTACTACAACAAAAATTTTAACCGGCATATCTTTTAACAAGAAAACAAATTTTTGAACTGTGTTTTTACGATTTTGTTTAAAGAAAAATTTCCGCGGAACGGAGAATCAATAATTCATATAAATAACAAATTTATTTCGCGCCTAATTAGATGTATATAGGCATGTATTGTGTGTGTGACGCGTGTATCAAAATAATATTTATATTTATTGAATGAAAATATTTGGCGAAGAGATACACACACACAGAAGTCAGTCAATGTGTTTAGGTATGCCAGTGAGTGTTTATATGTACCTGAATACGTACGCCAGTATTGCCAGTAAAACTCGGTCTTAATCAGTATTGCTGAAATAGTCTTGGTGAAAACATTGTTAAAATGGCAAAATACATTCTTCCATGTAAATTTCTTGGTAAGTAAATTTGTCTGTTGTGTTCACCTATGCGATGTATCGTTCATCTGATTATTACATCATCGATGATTTCTAAATATGGAAATGTCTTTACCACGCGTACACGCTAAAAAAAAAGCGCAGAATAATCTACAATTAAAAATTTCCATTTACATTATCTCGTATGGTGATGTAACGCTTTACATCAGACATATATATTGTATGTAATATTTTATAAGATGCTAAAAAAAAGATTTTTGGTTCTGATCGGTACTATTCTTATAAAGTACAAGTTTGTTTCGCCGCGAACGTCCACTTCGCCTCCCACCTATTAGGCCGAGGTTGGATGCTAAAAAAAAGATTTTTGGTTCTGATCGTATTCTTATAAAGTACAAGTTTGTTTCGCCGCGAACGTCCACTTCGCCTCCCACCTATTAGGCCGAGGTTAACTGTTAAATCGCCAGTTAATTGCACGCGCCCGCTCGCAAGAACAGAGCCGTGTTCCCCGCCGCCGATGGTGCGTGGCCGAGGCCCCGAGTGTCGCGTTAATTACCAAGCGTTAGGCAGGCTCCTCCCTCCCGGCGTATAGATAGATGGATTACTTAACACTTGTCACGCCTCGCTAATTAACATTCAGTCATCTCCCTCTCGGAAGTGTTGCCCCTGCCCCGCCGATGACGATGACGATGACGACGCGACAGGTGGAAAGTCGTTTAATATTTATCGACCATCGCTCCCGACCCCGTTGGTATCTTCGGGGCCCGCACGCACTGGCAGGCAACCGGTCTCCGGATTGTCGCTCAATCAGAATTCATGTTGGCGCGCGATGCTTCACGGAAAATATTAGAATACGAGACGTCGCGCGGTCGCCGATTAGTGACGGATAAACGGACGGGTATTCTTCTTTTTTTTTTTTTTTTTTTTTTTTTTTTCCGCGTCTGTCAACGTCTCGCGGGATATCGGATGGGCCTCGCCGGAATTCCAGATGCAGGACGTTTCGTTCGATCGAATGTAATCTGCGCGTTCGATCGCATGAACGGGTGTCGTCGAACATATTGTCGAACGCAGGCAGGCGTTCATGTGGTAACTAATATAACTTAACACGTTTACTGCGCCGTGACATCGCTTAGCTAATTCTAACATTGACGAAGATTCCTGGAAGAGTGTCGCGAAAAATATTTACTGCTGCTTATCTGGATGAGAAACCCACCAGCTCTCGATGCAAATGAGATAAATAAAGAAATATTGTCGTATAACTGCCAAGGACGTCGATTAGAATGAAAATAATAATCGCCAGCGCTCACCTCGAAACAATCTGTCCGTTTAACCGACAAGTTCTTTTAATTATACTTTTGATACGTCATCCCACTTACAACAATAATAATAATTTTTTTTTTTTTAAATACGATTTAAAAAAATAATATTTTATATTTTTGATAATTTCTACGTTTTTGTAATATACGAAATCATGCAAAGAGACACATATGTATATATGAATGAGTCACATATATCTGTAGAATAATGATAGTGCTGTCAAAATGGTCACACATTGCTGAATTCACTGGTCGCGGAGTTGAGGAGTTAATTAACAAACTTAAGCAACATTTGATACGGTCAATGCTTGAATAGTTGACAGCCTGGGAAGACCGTGTCCCATTGGCGCTAATGCCGAGGCTAATGACTGTAGAAGTCGATGTCATAATTGAGAGAAAAAAAGATAATGCTGGTATCCTGTTTGAAGAACGCGACGTCAGAAGAAACGGTTATGACATAATTACGCAAATACGTCGTCTCATTTCACGCTTTATTCATTCAGCTTATGTTTTGCTTCGGCCTGAAAAAAGAAAAAAAAAAAAAAAAAAATGAATGATATCATAGTTTATAATTTTCTAATCAAATAAATTTAATGACGATAGAGAATCAGCTGATCCGATGTACATCGTCTACTAATAATAAAATAATAAAAAAAGAAAAAGAAATTTATATGTGACAAAACTAAAAAGGTCGAGTCGCTTGAAATGTCAGTTGACTTTACACAATAATTATGGGTTCTCGCGTCATCGATGGCCGTTCGATCGCAGTATATATATATATACGTTACTGCGCCGCGACATCTAATGAGGCTATTAACACGCTCCGCGCCGCCGAGGAAACTTGGACGGTCGAGCGTTTATGACAGCCGATGACCTACCTACCCCTACCTACCTACCCGCTTCCATTAGAGCCGCGTACGAGCGCGGTTGAGTGAGACATTTGCCGGCTCCCGCCGAGCCGATCTTTCTCTCTCTATTTCTCTCGTCTTTAGCGCAGGTGCCGTCGAAGAAGAAGGTACCATTTAAAACTTCCTCGCTTTTACGCTGTACCGCGCGCAACGACGCGTGCCTTCGGGCTCGATTCTGAGACGCGACGACGCTATTAGCCGGCTCGGCGGCATTACCGAGGATCTCCGGCGTTTACGTAAGGTTCCCCGTTGCGGGGAATCGGCCGCCGATTACAAACGACTTACTCTCTCGCGGTCGGTTAAAAATCACTTACGACGATCGGCTCCTTTATTGCGGCGCGACGGACGGCATTTGCGGTCGGATAAATTATCGCGGGAAATTTTCCCTGGACATATGCAAATTACATCAATCTGGGGTAGGAGAGGGGAGGGAAAGAAAAAGAGGCAGTACGCCGCCGATTGCGTCGTATAAGATTGCGTCGATTATATCGCGTATATTTATGTGAATCACAGTCGCGCTGTGCAATCGTCGCGGATGAACGAGCATATCGATGTGTAATGTCAACCTGTGTCATTGAGCGGATGAGAATTAAAAATCAACGGCAAAATTATCCGCCGGTGGCTTCCTCTACGCGACATGACGCGTGTAATTTAATACACATTGTTCCCTCCGATGTGAATTCACTCGTGTAACTGTCGATATGCATTCAACCTTGCCGGTTAATTCTCTCGAAATGAGATAGAGTTAGTTATTACTATCGCCGGTAATTGTTTGAAGTTATGTCGACAATTGGAAATCATAATGATGATTCCGCGTGTATCATGTCTCGTAATAGATCATCGAGTTTACGTCTATCACGCAACTGTTACTACTGTAGAATGAAACGGAAAATATTTTTTTCCATCACTTGTTGTGTAATTTAAATGTTTTATTTTGCAAAAATTCCTTTTTATAATAACTCATAAATCTTGTGTATGATATTATCATTTATCAAATTTAATTAATAATCGCGAAACGCATGCTCTCTCTCTCTCTCTCTCTTTATGAAAATACTACGCGATGCTCCATTTAAATCGCAGCGAGAGATCCAAAAGGCCAGCTCTAGTATCGCGTACGAATAATTAATCGTCCCACTTATGGTCACAGTGTTGATCGAATGCGAATGTTTTCTGTTGCAGACTCGTGCGAACCCGTTGCGGAGCGACCTTACGGTGAGTGACTCACGATCTCAATTTCCTAGATATTACGAGACCGTACTTACGCCACTATAAAAATCGTCGCGGAACCTTCTATTCAGTATCATCCGTGAAAAAAATTACCCTCTCCTATTACGCAGTCTATGTGCTTCTCGAATCGCGTTGACTCGACTCGCCGTCGACCACTCGTGCAATTCCCTTCCATTCAGGTGCCTCATTCGCCGTTGATTTCATACGGCATTGCGAAAGGCGATGTAACGCCGTTGGGTGCCCGTTTTCTTTCTCTTTTTTTTGTTTCTTTTATAGCGTCCACCGGCTCGATCGCGCGTCTATGCAAATGCGTAAATTAGATTGAATTCTCGGAACAATTACTTCAAACAGAAAGTACCCGACTGGTAGCCGACTAGTTTTATATCGCAAGTATATAGCATATTTTCAGGCAAAAAGCGGCACAAGTGTTTTTAATTGTATTAATAGGCTACGAGTCCGTATTTCTCGAATACCGGTTGATTTTCCTCTCATTTATATAACTTAATTGCGTATAGCGTATAATAAGTTTTTTTAAACATAAGAGCAACTTCTTTTTTATAACGTCATTTTTATTAGCGGATGAAAAATTTTTTTTATGTTTTTTGCAACGGTTTAATTTTTGGTTCTGTCGAAGACTCGCTTCGTTCTTTTCTCTCTCTCTTTTGGTATCTTCGTTCGTCGACACTTACTCGAGTTCAATGACGGCGAATCCGACAAGCGAATCCGAGGATGGTTGAAAAGACGTTTCGAAAAGCCGTCCATCTCTGGGCGTGATATCAAGTCAGGGAGGGGGGGGCTGTTAGAAGGACATAAAAAGTCGCGTTGCATCCGGTCGTGTCTCCTCTATGCCAGAAGTCATAAAATTCAGCGTTATGCGATTCGGGGCCTGTGTTTTGTCCCCCTTTCGAGATTATGATTATCCCAGCAGTGGCGGCAGCCACCGTGGCTAATATCACGCAATAAGCACGCCGGAGCCCAAGAAAGCAACGGTCTATCTTTCTCTCTATCTCTTTCTCTCTCTTTCTCTCTTTGCCGCTCGGTCTCTACCTTTGGCTTCGTTCGTCTTCGTCCTTCGTAACATTCTCTTCTTCTTTCCTCCTCTGGTATATAATATGTGCCACCAAACCTGATGGTGTAAACGGCCATCCAGTGGAAACACGTGGATGGTCCAGGACGGAGGAAGAGAAGGCCATCAAACGAACCGCGCAGCCCCGCGGAGGGCATTCTAACTTTCCTGAAGCGACTCCATCTTCACGGTCTATCGTACGTTTGAGAGTCGCAGTAGTCGACTAGGTGTTGCGTTGCTAATGGTACCGGCATGCCCTCACAGATCTCTTTGGTTCGTTTATATCCCAGGAGGCAGAATATTTTACGATAACTAAAAAAATTTTATTTATCTATTTTTTATAAGTATTCTTTTTTTGCAACATATTTTTTAAATAACAGGAATTTTATTCTCGTCTAAAATTAAAACTCACTCGTGTCAGTAGGGCACTCTTGTGCAAGCATGCGCTTTGAAGGACTCTCGTAGCACGCGTTTCGACGGATTGAGTCGAGGTGGTCGTGATTTTCGGGGGTTGTCGAATCAACAGGTCCCGGTTATGAGAGTGTAAAGCGTTTTGAATCTGACCCCTCGTGAGAGGGGCATGAATCCTCGGGCGCGAATCTCGATGTATGTAGGAGGAGAAAAAAAAAAGGGCGAATCTCGTCCGTGGGGGGTCGTGTCAGGCAGCTCCTCTCCTGATCGGTGAAATCGCGCGCGTGTGCTTCGCGCGCGTGTGCTACGCGCGCAAGTATGTATTAAACGTTGCGGGGGTGGTCCGGCTACCCCAGGCTACGGGGATGGCTGACAGCCGATTAGGGCAAGGCGGGAGGGAGGCCCCCACGGAAAACTTAAAATAACATCGCTCGATCATCCGGGTGTCTTCACAGACAGCCGACGACGCCGTGCTCCGTCATTCAAACGCTTACCATCCCATCACCTTGTTGCTATTCTACCCTAGTCCTGGTTGATTGTCAGCGAGTATTTTATGTCGCGAATACTGCCCTCAAAAACATGTTGAATTAGTTGATTAATCCGTACGCTTATATATAACGCATATATTATACATTAATTGTTATATTGAAATTTATTGTTTTTTATTAAAAAAGATTATATATATATAAGGAAATTAAGTCATATCTGCGATCATTTTAAGACGGATGTAAAACATTATTCATAAATCTTGTAATAAATTATATCATTTGTTTCGCGCGACTTTTGTTAACAAAATTAAACCAACATATATTTGGAATACTTTATAAAAAAATAATCTTATATATTCTTTCTTTTTGCATTAAAAAAAAGATGTATATAGTTACCATAAGTTACTTTTTTTAAAATTATTCGTGGGTGATAGATTTCAACGTTATTTAAAAACTTAGATGGCGAGAAAAAGAGATATCGTTAAAATCGCGCGCGTGTGCTACGCGCGCAAGTATGTATTAAACGTTGCGGGGGTGGTCCGGCTACCCCAGGCTACGGGGATGGCTGACAGCCGATTAGGGCAAGGCGGGAGGGAGGCCCCCACGGAAAACTTAAAATAACATCGCTCGATCATCCGGGTGTCTTCACAGACAGCCGACGACGCCGTGCTCCGTCATTCAAACGCTTACCATCCCATCACCTTGTTGCTATTCTACCCTAGTCCTGGTTGATTGTCAGCGAGTATTTTATGTCGCGAATACTGCCCTCAAAAACATGTTGAATTAGTTGATTAATCCGTACGCTTATATATAACGCATATATTATACATTAATTGTTATATTGAAATTTATTGTTTTTTATTAAAAAAGATTATATATATATAAGGAAATTAAGTCATATCTGCGATCATTTTAAGACGGATGTAAAACATTATTCATAAATCTTGTAATAAATTATATCATTTGTTTCGCGCGACTTTTGTTAACAAAATTAAACCAACATATATTTGGAATACTTTATAAAAAAATAATCTTATATATTCTTTCTTTTTGCATTAAAAAAAAGATGTATATAGTTACCATAAGTTACTTTTTTTAAAATTATTCGTGGGTGATAGATTTCAACGTTATTTAAAAACTTAGATGGCGAGAAAAAGAGATATCGTTAAAAGATTCTAGAATTGTTTTTGATATCGGGCAGGAAAATTTATCAACCAGTCAGAGGTTGAGCACCTCTTCGATGCTCATTACAGAGCGTCCCGCCCCCGGCGGCGGATAATCAGGGTGTGCGGGGGAGTGAGGGGGGCGGGGGCGGTGGGTGACCTCGCCCGGGGCCTTTACTCTCCTCTTCTTCGCCCTGCCACTTCCATGTCTCTTTACTCTTTTCCTCCTATCTCTGACGAAGTATGCCCTTCTCGTTTCTCTCGCCTCTCTATATACTCTCGTCTCCCTTTCTCCTCTTGGTATCCGCGAGTCTTTTTCTCTCGACGCTTTCGTCTACCAACTACCTGCGAAGGTGACGGAGCAGCAGCTTCGAGTTCGCTTTACGAATCGCGACCTCGCCGGTATTTTGCATTCGGTGTGCATTGCTATCATCTATCCTTCGTTGTTTCTCTTTGAAATTAGAAGAAGTTCTATCTATATATACAGCAGTGTCATTTTATGTAATGTCTTGCATCAGTATTTTTCTAGTATCTAGAGTAAAGTAATGGAAATATTTATATAAGTTTTATATTTAATATCAACATACATATATACATTATTTTTTAGGAAAACTATCAAAAAATATTATATTAAAAATATTACTCTTATTTTATATTATACGTTTATATTTTTATATCATGAATATCGAGATTCGTTATTAGAGGGAATAATTTTTTAAATATTATATCTTTATCGCGCGTCAGAACAGCCGCTTGAGTGCCTCAATATTTTTGAGATGGGAAGATTAATCTATAACGTGAGAAAAAGAAAGAGGGAGAGCCATCGGCTATTTGGCTGCGAATAATAATGATTATGGACAGATTATGGATCTTGAGCAGAAAATGGCGTTGTTGAATATTGGCGAGGGTGGAAAGTGAAGTTTTTTTATTCGCGGTACGACAGCGAACCGTGCAGTTGCCCCGCTTCCTTTTTCATGGTTCATTATCTATGCAGAATTTGGTAAGGAGAATGCGGAGCAGATGTGGGGTAAAAAGAGGGAGGAAAGGTCCGGGGTCAGGATTCACGAAGAATTGAGAGAGTTTCAGGACACGCCGCTGAATAATTGGAATACAAACAGGGGAATCGGCCCGTGGATTCTCAACCTGTGGATCCACAGTGGATCCTCGGAGAGAGAATTTAGAGATCAAGAGGCCGGATAATTCGACGCTTGTAAAAACTAGCATCGAACGGAAGTCTTTCGAGCCCGATCTAATTTGCAAAGAGCGCGCGGATCCTTTACGCGGAGAATCCGTTACGGTTCTCGTATATAAGATTCAAAGAAATCTCTTCCGCGAACAGTAATTCCACGCATGGAGCACCGGTAGAGCCACTCGCCTTTCTCAAAAACTATATGCACGTTTCACGAGAGCGTTTCCGAGAAATTTTACATAACCGCCTGTCGTTGCCTATTCACGTCGTCGTTCAGGACGAGAAATATACACTCTTTTCGCCGTTACGTATCGGAATGCGACTGTACTAGGATGATGCTCGATCGCCCGTTTATCCCGTTACGATTCTTTCTTTCCTCCGCGAACGCATATCGCGGTCTATCGTTCGATGGGCAAGAAAACATTGATGTCACTCTAGATAGTCTTAGAGACCCTCTGCGCGTCCTTTTTCCCTCTCTAAGATGGTCAAGAAAGTTCAACGAGTCGGAGAGCTAACGTGTGTAATTGAATCCCGTTTCAAGATTGACGAGATTCATCGCGAGTGTAGATTTTATCGATTTTAATGTTCGAAACTACGATATGACTTTAAGTATTAATTAATGTCATATTTTATTCGGAAAGCATGGCCCAAAAAATAAAATTCAGTCG